AATAATAATAATAATAATAATAATAATAATAATAATAATAATAATAATAATAATAATAATAATAATAATAATAATAATAATAATAAAGTTGGAAGGGACCTTGGAGGTCATCTAGTCCAACCCCCTGCTCAGGCAGGAAACCCTATACCATTTCAGACAAATGGCTGTCCAGTCTCTTCTTAAAAACTTCCAGTATTGGCGCATTCACCGCTTCTGGAGGCAGGTTGTTCCACTGGTTAATTGTTCTAACTGTCAGGAAGTTTCTCCTTAGTTCTAGGTTGCTTTTCTCCTTGATTAGTTTCCACCCGTTGCTTCTTGTCCTGCCCTCAGGCGTTTTGGAAAATAGCTTGACTCCCTCTTCTTTGTGGCAGCCCCTGAGATATTGGAACACTGCTATCATGTCCCCCCTCGTCCTTCTTTTCATTAAACTAGACATACCCAATTCCAGCAACCTTTCCTTATATCTATCAACAACCTCTATTGTGATGCTCCTCCATTACTTATGTGCAAGATAGAAGTGCCAAAGATTTGAATCTGAAAGTTCTCTTAAATTCCTCTTAAAAAGAAATCAAATGCCCTTTGCACCCTCAAATGTTCCCCACCTCTATTCTTCATTACTCTTGTCTTGCTTTATTCTCTTATCTGAGAATAAAGCCCACCAACCTCTTTTGGGCTTCTGAGTAAAATTTATGATGCTGCACTGCAATATCTCCTCTAGGGTTAGCCTTTTCCAATCTGATCTCATCTCATCTCACTCTCTCCCTATCTCTTCAATCTTTGTTGGCATTACATTTCCCAAAATTATGGCTGGTAATTATGAAAGAGGCTCCAGTCATACAATTTCTACCGGGCCCAACAAAACCAAGCCATTTCCCAGGAAAAAAAAGAGCTAGTGTTTGAGGTTGATTTCTATAACCTTTACTGGATTTCTCTTCCTTCTTCTCCGGGAAATTCCCAGGAAGTACTGCTGTCTTGGGTCTCCCAACCATCCATCTCTCCATCCATCCATCCATCCTCCTCGTCCTCAGTTTCCAGAAGTTCACCTTCCTATCAAAGCTCACAGGCTTGTTGGAGGATGGTAGCTGGATGGGTTTCTTCATGCCCCAGCTCCATGTCCCCCTGAAGTAATCTGCCAGGAGCTGGTGACGCTTGATCCTTTCCTCTGGCACGGACAGGTAGCGCTGCTCCACAGCATCAGCCAACTCCCTGCATGGAAGAAGATATGTCAAAGCTGACGCCTGCTTTTTCATCATCTCAGCGGCCTTGGAGGGAAAGGGTAGCAACTGACCTGTGGAGAAAATGCTTTAGCACAAAGCCATCCGCCCACCGGTCCTCCAGCCATTGGGCCAAGTCCTGGTATAACTGAGCCCATAGCAGGGGTGGAAAGCGAAGGGTCACCTTGCTCGGAGGAGGATGAAGCCGATAAATTTCAGTGAGAACCTCATTATCCAGGGACAAGATATCTTTTTGTTCTGCTTCTGAGAGCCCATGTCTGTGGAAAGGGCAGAGGGAGAAGCAGATAGCAATAGCACTTAGACGTATATACCGCTTCACAGTGCTTTACAGCCCTCTCTAAGCAGTGTACAGAGTCAGCACATTGCCAACAACCTGGGTCCGCATTTTAGCCACCACGGAAAGATGGAAGGCTGAGTCAACGTTGAGCCGATCAGGATCGAACTCTTGGAGTGAGCAGTGAGTTAGCCTGCAGTACTGCATTCTAACCACTGCGCCACACAGCTCTGGTAGGCACCTGTTATTCCTCTCTTTCCTCAGCAGATAATTGGGGAGGGAAATGGCTAGACTGCTAAAAATAATTTCTTCTTTGTGCCCTTCTTTATAATGACTTGAGTTAGTCCTTGACTTACAACCATGTTCAAAATTATAACTGCCTGAAAAAAGTGACTTACATGGAACGAGACAATTTGCCACAGTCAACTTACAAACGGTCCTCACATTAACTACCATTGCAATATCCCCACAATCACATAATCAAAATTTGGCACTTGGCAAGCAGCATACATTTATGATGGCTGCAACATCCCAGGGGGTCATGTGATCGCCACTTGCAACAATCCCAGGTAGTTTGGAACAAGTAAAATCAACGGGGGGACTTGCTTAATGACTGCTTCATGATTCACTTAACAACTGCAGTGATTCGCTTAACAACTATGGCGAAAAAAGTTGTAAATTTGGACTCAACACACTTAGCAACCACCTTGCTTAGGAAACAGAAAATCATGTCTCAGTTGGGGTTGTAAGCAGAGGGTTACCTGTACCTGCTTTAAGGTATCTCGCCATAGAATACCACCAAATGACGGATTGGGTAACAAGCAGCCCTCCGGTTGCCTGCAGGAAATTCTTGGATAGTTTCTTAATTCTAGGACCCCCATAGAAAGGACTGTAGAGAGGACTGTCCAGAATAACTGCCCAAGTCACTTTGGATAGTGAGATGGGTGGCATAAATAAATAAGCAAATAAATAAGCAAATAAATAAATATAACCTTACCTTGGGGTTTAATGGAAGTATAAAACACAAAGGAAGGTTTGAAACTAATGGCAAGAAATAAAACAGTGATTAATCAAAGAGAGAAGCAACGTAGAACTAAGGAGAAATTTTCTGACAGTTAGAACAATTAACCAGTGGAACAACCTGCCTCCAGAAGCGGTGAATGCTCCAACACTGGAAGTTTTTAAGAAGAGACTGGACAGCCATTTGTCTGAAATGGTACAGGGTTTCCTACCTGAGCAGGGGGTTGGACTAGACGACCTCCAAGGTCCCTTCCAATTCTATTACTATTACTATTATTATTATTACTACTACTACTACTACTACTACTACTACTACTACTACTACTATTACTACTACTACTACTACTACTACTACTACTACTACTATTTAGAACCTGGCCATTTTATCATTAAAAGAAATGCTAATAGCCACCATATTCCATCTCTGGGGATTTATCTGGAATTCTCTTTTCCCTCCACAGAACTTGGACAATTTCACCAGGGTACCACTTATAGTCTCCTTTATTGGCAATTGTATCCTGCTATTTTAAACCTTTGTCCATGGTGACACAAACATTTGTACTCACCGGGCACAGGCAAGATAGCCAAGTACATGTGCTATTAAGATGGATCCATGCACCATCTCCAGGTGGTCACACAAGTGATATGCAGATTCCAAGGCTGAAGATGAAATGGATGGTGCTGCAAATACAATGTATGAAGTCCAATGCTGGGCTTGTCTTATGGCCAGGTCCACTGGCAGAGCATACGCACCCTTTGCAAAGCTTTGCAGGAACAACTCCTGCTGAGTGCGCCTTAGTGTGCGCCCTGCGGATGCCAAAGTTTTGGAGAGAATTACCCCCACTTGCTCTTGAGAAAGAGGTCCCATCTCAAAATAATCCTCTGGAGCCCCAGTCATCTTCTGCAGAACTTCATTTTCCTTCTGAAGCACAGTAAGAATCACATGTGTTTTTGGAGGGCAGATTTTTGGCAACCAGAAAGCTCTGTGAGCATTTCTAGTTATGTGTAGCTGCTCCATTGAATCAAGGAGCAGGACGAGGGACCGTGTGCCCTGGCAAGAAGCTAAAGAAAGCAGGAAGTGAAAGAGCAGGACTGGATTGCCAACTGGCTTGGTATAAGGGAAACCCATGGCTAAGCAAACCTGTAGGCAGAGGCTATGGAGTAGGCCGTTCCATGTGGAACTATCCTGTGAGGTTCCCAGCAAACGAAGTATCACCACTGTCTCCTGACCCAGGGTGGTGTGTATGGACTCACTGAGATGGCACAACAGGGCTGTTTTGCCACATCCTGATGGCCCACAGATGACAAGTGGGGAATGGGCTTGATGGTGATTCTGTTTAATGCGCTGGCAAATGTGATCCAGTAGATTCTGCTGCCAGCAGAAAGCCTGGCTGTGTTTTTGGCCAAGGACTATGTGATGAGTGAGCTCTTGAATCAGCTCAGGTGGCTTCCCAAGATTTTGTTCTTGAGATCTCAGGCTCCTGAGCACATGATGGTTGGTGGCAGCAATAAATTGGTCACAGAAATCCTTCAAATACTTGGGCCAGGGCTTCTGCCGGAAAGAGTTGGGTTTTACCTCATGTGGAATCCTGTGAAACTTAATCAGCTCAGGGTACATGCTTACGATATTTGCCTTCAGATCTGCTAACTGTTGTGGTTCTTCAGGGTGCAGCTCATCGCCAACTTCATCTGTGCCCACCAGTGAGTCCACTCTATCTGATGTGGGCATATCCACTTCTGTGAAGAATACCATGGTACTTTGGCCATCACATTCACCTGATCTGAAGAGGCCAGCTTCAATTTCCTGGTATATCTCTATAAAAGATTGAGAAAAGATTATAGAATTCAGAAGGGGAGCCACGTAGGCCAAAGCAACCTCTAGAATTAAGGAAGCCCTGAACAAGATTTACAGCGGTTGATATAGAACCACAATGAAGTTGGTTTAGCTCAGGCATGTCAAATTCGCGACATCACATGACGTCGCGTGATGTATTGCGACTTTTTCCCCCTTGCCAGCAATGGGGTGGGTGCAGTTTTGGCATGACGCATCCGGCCTGCAGGCCAGCAGTTTGACATGCCTGGTTTAGCTGCTATCTGCAAGACTTCTCTTCACATTGAAACTCCTTTTTCACTTGCCCGTTACCCCAATCTTTTGGTTCCTACCAATATGTTCCATCTTTTGTCAGCAGACACTTCATTCCTTTACCTAACTTGCCAATGGGAGGTTTCAGTGAAAGGCTGACGGACAGGTTGCTTTATGTGTATGAAGATCACCCACCATGTGAATAGACATTGGTGGTGATGGCAGCTAGCTTCTCCTTCCCTGCTTCCACCATTTGATTGCTCTAATGGCAGCAATCCACTAAGGAGGTACATCATCCCATTCTTGGCAGCTGCAGTAGTTTGGTTAGGGAAGAGGGGGTATAAAGGCAGGTAGTCATCAATTTATGATCATGATTGGGACCAGAACTTCTGTTGCTAAGCAACGTTAAATGAGATGTGGCTGATTTTACAACCTTTTTGACATAATTGTTAAGTGAATCACACAGCGGTTAAGGAAATCCAGCTTTCCCCAGTGATTTTGCTTGTTGGAAGCCCCCTAGGAAGGTTGCAACTCAACATGTCCAATTTGCCACGGAGACAACGCACCAAAGGCAGCTGGAGGGAGAGCGCAGAGTGGTGGTGGTGACCAGAGGTTTCCCACCGGAGAGAGAGCCAGGAAGGCAGAAAAGCGAGCAGGTGGGCAGAGTGCAAAATGGCAATGGTGGTCAGGGGCTTCCCATTTTCACATCCTCGCCGCTCTTGCTGCTGCTGCTGTGGAAAACTCTGGGCTGTTTGCAGTTCAAGTTGTTCGGCAGTGGCAATGGTGCTTGGCCTGTTCTGTGGCGGAGGTGGGTGGGGCAGGTAGTGGTAGGGAGGTGATGAAGACTGGACATGCCCCATTTTCACAGATCCTCGCCACTGCCATGGGCCATTCGGCAGTAGTGGTGTTTGTGCCATTCGGTGGCAGCAGTGGGGGTGGGGCAGGCAGTGAGGAAGCACAGAGGTCGGATGTGTCCCATTTTCACACACCCTGCCACCGCCACTGAATGGCCTGAACATCACTTCTGCCAAGATGTTCATGGCAGCGGCAAGAGCGATGAGTGTGAAAATGGGATATGCCTGGCCTCTCCCATCTCCTCTCTCATCACTGCCACTGAATGGCCCAAACCCCACCACCACTGCTGAACGGACCAAACTCCAAATGGCCCAGAGTCTAGATTTATGTGGTGAACCATCTATTTTGTTCAAATGGTACCTTAAGGTCCCAGCAAGGCATGCTATAGTGGAGACCTCTTTTCTGGGAAGCATACCTGACTTGTGGTAATTCTGCAATTGCTCCCGGGTGATGAGCCCATGCTTTTCTGCTTGGCAGGCGGCCCTACGGAGGATCAAGAGTAAGTCTTCCTCCACACCATCTGGGTTTGCCTGAGACGTTTGCTGCAGAACATACATGGGAGGGATGGCGTTCTCATCCTTCAGGTACCTTTGGGCCAGAAGCTGCAAGGTCTTGGGCTCTTCCAGAAGTTGTGCTCTGATGGCCTCAAATTCCAGTTCCCCGATGGTCAGAGGAATAGGGCAGCGGCTGTAGTCATTTCCAAGCAGCGCCTGTAGCAAATAAATTTTCTCAGTAATTCTTCTGAAGGTATAAGCTGGGATGACCTGAAAATCCAAGTTGCACCAAGGAGGCATGCAAAAGCCTTAGTAAGATCACACCTAGAATACTGCATCCAGTTTTGGTCACCACACTATAAAAAAAATGTTGACTCTGGAAAGAGTGCAGAGAAGAGCAACAAAGATGAAGAACGGTCGCAAGAACTGGGCATGGCTAGTCTAGTGAAGAGAAGGACCAGCGGTGACATGATAGCAGTGTTCCAATATTTGAGGGGCTGTCACAGAGAAGAGGGGGACAACCTATTTTCCAAAGCACCCAAAGACCAGACAAGGAACAATAGATGGAAACTAATCAAGGAGAAATTCAACCTAAAAATGAGAAATTTTCTGACAGTGAAAACAATCAACCAATGGTAAGTTTGCCTTCAGAAGTTGTGGATGCTTCATCACTGAGGCTTTCAAGAAGAGATTGGGCAGCCACCTGTCAGAAATGGTATGGGGTCTCCTGCTTGAGCAGTGGGTTGGACTAGATGACTTACAAAGTCTCTTCCAACTCTGTTATTCTGTACATTTTATAAGTGTGTCCGTAACATATTACTCCTATAACTATGGCTAAAAAACTTGCGTAATTGTATTCCAATAAATTTTTGGAAAAGACCCTGATGCTGGGAAAGATTGAAGGCAAAAGGAGAAGGAGACTGCAGAGGATGAGATGGTTAGATAGTGTCATCAACACAATGAACATGAATTTGGGCAAACTTTGAGGACCTCTCCAGTCTATGCTATGCTCCATGGGGTTGCGAAGAGTTGGATACAACTTAGTGACTGAATAACAATTCCAAATTTAAAAAGGCAGTTTATACACATTTTAAATATTCTTGGTCAAGGCCATTGGTAAAACAAAGACACTTTCTCTAGGTTGCTCACTAGCAAAATAGTACACATCTTTTGGTGCATTTGTTTATTTACAGTATACAGTTTAGAAGCCACTTAATTTAAAAAGTAGGGAAAATAGAACAAAAATAAACAAACTCATGAGTGGTCGAAAGACAGGTATTTAAATCAAAAACTTGGCCAATGGGGCTTAAGTATCATTCTGTCTGAAGACCTGGTTGTACAGCTAGGTCTTTAATAGCTTCCTGAATATAATCAGGATGGAACCATCTGGTTTTTTTTGGGGTGGGGGGAGATGTCTCATTCCAGAGGGCAAGAGCCATACAGAGAAAATACTATTTATCAGTGCTCTTTCTTTTCCCTGTCCCAGCACCAGGACCTCTGTGTATTATTTTTTTCTATAAAGATAATCTTTGACTTATGATCAAATTGGGACCAGAATTTCTGTTGTTAAGCAAGCTACAGTATTTGTTAAATAAATTGTGCCTGATTTTACAATCTTTTTTTAAAGCAAATCACTCCAGTTGTTAAATGAATCATGTGGTCGTTAAATAAATCCAGCTTCCCCCCCCCTTGATTTTGCTTGTTGGAAGCCAGCTGGGAAGGTAGCAAATGGTGATCACATGATCCCAGGATGCTGCAATGATAAAAAAAAATACATGCCACTTGCCAACTGCCCAAATTTTGATAATGTGACATGGGAATGCTGTAACACAGATCAGTGCTAGAATTGGTCTTAAGTCCAATTTTTTCAGTGCTGTTCTAACTTTGTATAGTTACTAAATGAAGGGTTGTAAGTCAAGGACTACCTCTACCATCTTCCTCAATACCAGCAACATAAGCAGTAAAATAGTAGCAGTGTTATCACTGATTACTCCGTGGCACAGCTCCTTTCCTAGTCAGATAAAATGAAATAAAGGTAGTATTTTTTCTAAAAAAAATTAGGAACCAAGACAACATGCTGTACACCAGGCACTAAGGATTGTTATTGTAAAAAATTAATAAAACTTTTTTTTTAAAACAAATAAAGAAATAAAGGTAGTACTTACAATGAAGCTGGAACTCACTGAAAGTTTCTGGCAGCGTTTGATCTCTTCTAAAAAGAGTTGGGTAGACATATGGCGGGTGCCCATGTGATCAAAGGTGCCCCATCTTAAATCAATAACCTAGAGTAGATTTCAAGATGGATCGTAGGAACTGGCTGGCAGACAACATCATCTGAAAACATTTCTCCCCATTTTCATTAAGTTAGATACATGACTATTACAGAGTTAAAGGGTCAAGTGGCAGAACTCTAAGACTGTTTACAAGATAAACTTTTTTTTTTTTTGCTTCTTTCAACTTTTTTGTTCAGAGAAGGAAGATGTACTGTAAATTGTCCATTAGTCCTCTTTGCAGTAGGTGTAACTATAAATATGTTAGATCTTGTAAGAGGAAGAATAATATATAAATGAAATTAACTACAACATTTAAAAACGTTGTTGAGGTTAATTCTTCAGTTGTTTCAGTTGTTTTGACTACTGTGTTGTGAACATAAACATATACACTGTGCACTGGGATAAATCAAGAACAGATCTAGCCTGGCCCAACAGAATTTTTGGGAACTCACAGGGCAGTGGGACTTTTGTTGTCATGGCACCATCTCTGAACATGAGAGATTCATTTTTTTCACTATCACCATAGTTATTACTTACCAAACAGTAAATTTTCACAAATGCACTAGTAAAAAACCCAATTCTGGAGAACCTCAACAATAGCAAACAACTTCTCAGGTTTTAAGGCCAGTGATATTGGGCTTCAGCTTACATTGAAATCCTAGTGTTTGCTGATCTTGCTGTCCTTCTTGCAAAGTTTCATTACCGAATTTAAGTACAGTAACAGCAATGCTTTGTTACAAGGGTTGGCTGGCTATTAAGCTTAAAAGATGTTGTAGTGAAACATTTGCCAGAAAAAAAGAACACAGGCTCAATAAACATCAAGATTCCTATATTTCAATCCTGAGCTGCAAATGTTCTCCATTAACTGCTACTTCTAGCTTACCTCAAACATCAAGCCATGCTTTTGGCAGAAGACTTGCACTTCTGGATATGCCATCTCCATCAAGGCTTCCCTTTCTCCTGCCATATCTGCAAGGAAGAATTAGGTCCTTTGCTGACTAGCATTAGACATCATTTCTTGAAATGGCAATCCCATTGTTCACTCTTGATCACATAATGCTGGTACCCTCTCATCCCCAGTTTGTAACTTAAGCAGTGCTTTGTGATCCTTTATACACTGCAAAACAGCTAGTTTCTCTTGCTTCAGCTGCCAGGGAGCTGTAAGCAGCACATAATTTTTTTTTTATCATACTCTATGCTACTGTGTTCAAGGAAGTGTATTCATATGGGCACTTCAGTCATAGGTAGATTTCTGAGGAAAATGTCTGTATTTAATAATAATAATAACAACAACAACAACAACAACAACAACAATAATAATAATAATAATAATAATAATAATAAAGTTGGAAGGGACCTTGGAGGTCATCTAGTCCAACCCCCTGCTCAAGCAGGAAACCCTATTCCATTTCAAACAAATGGCTGTCCAGTTTCTTCTTAAAAACTTCCAGTGTTGGAGCATTCACCGCTTCTGGAGGCAGGTTGTTCCACTGGCTAATTGTTCTGTCAGGAAGTTTCTCCTTAGTTCTCACCCTCCTTAGCAAGAAGGGTGAGAAACAATCAGTGATGGGACTCAAATATGTGAACAACCGATTCTCTGTATGGATGCCACTTCCGGAAGTCCATTCTGGCCCTGGGCAACAAAAAATTAGCTACCGGTTCTGCTGAACTGATGCGAACTGGCTGAATCCCACCACTGGAAACAATGCCAATGGCTATTCATCATCAGCACCCTAAAGTTATTTGTCTCATAGCAGTAAGGACAATACATTTCATTAGCCTCCTAAAACTGCAAGTTGGGGGGGGGGGCATCTGGAAGATATACCACTTTTCTGCCAGGATATATCAACCTAGCAATATCTAAATTACATCAGGGATTCCTAGGACAGGTAGTCCTTGATTTACAATCTTTCGTTTAATGACCATTCATTAATGACCATTACAAGCACTATGCGCTTAGAGACCCCACACACCCACTTCATGGTCTGTTTCTGTTGCTCTCCTCTGGGAGGAGGTTTTGAAGTATTTATAGCAGAACTACTAGATTCTGCAATTGCTTTGTTCCTTGTGCCATCTGTCTTGTAAATTCACAGGATTCTTTTTTTTCACCATGTAGATGTATACCGTATTTTTCCGTTTATAAGATGCTATTTTTTCCTGCAAATACCCTGTTCAAAAATCAGGTGCGTCTTATACAAGTGCAGCGTCTTATACACGAAAAAATAATGGTAACCTCCGCAGCACAGGGCATGCCTGTGTGGGTTCTTTACATGTCACTGCCATACCGCCTGGTGCAGGTGTCAAGCCCCTGTGTGCTTGCCACTAATGGGAGGGGGGAGGTGGGAGGGGGCAAGATCTTCGGCCGGCCGAACTTCTGGATTTGCCGGCTCAGCTGTTCGGAGCTCTGCCGAACAGTTGATCGGTGCGGAGAAACGGCGGGGAGTTTAAAACCTGCCTTCGCTTCCCTTGCCTTGCTGTCATGCCGGTGCTCATGCCGGTTTGTTTACCAGGGTCAGAAGGCTGCTGGGAGGCAGTTGTTCCCAGCGTTGACTTTGTTTGCTGTAAGCTTGGAACTCGCATGCCAGAGCGTGTTATACAAGGGTGCGGTACATCCAAACTAGACTGTGTTGTTTCTCTGTGTCATATATGTGTGGATGGGTGGGTATATGCATAATTTTTGTCATGTAGTGCATATTGGAGGTGGTTATTCTTTGAGAGCTGAATGCAATGAAATTTCATTTTAATGTATGCTGACTAGTATATATTTAAAGTGACAATAAAGTTATTCTCCCCCCCCTCTCTCTCACACACACATACACACACACACACACACACACACACATCTCTATTCAAAGTCACAATGGCACTGGAAAAAGTGACTTAGAACTGGTCCTTGAAAACAGGAAGAACTTTCTACAAGGACTTATTTAACATTTCAACACTAATATCACATTAGGGATTAAAACGAAGTTGAGTTGTACCCCACTGGATTATTTCTCCATCTTGCCCATCTGATTAGCAATGGCAATCCACTTTCTCACATTAGAGAGCTTCCCTATCCCTTATTATATAATCCTGAAAATGGTAATAACTGAATAACAGAACTAGTCCAACCCCCTGCTCAGACAGGAGAGTCTATACCATTTCAGACAAATGGTTGTCCAATCTCTTATTAAAAGTCTCCAGTGATGGAGCACCCATAATCTCTGGAGGGAAACCGCTTCACTGGTTAATTGGTATCACTGTCAGGAAATGTCTCCTTATTTCTAGGTTGCTCTCCCCTTGATTAATGATTTAATGATTGTTTAATGATTTAATCTGGATTTTTTTCCCCAGGTACAGTCACTTTTTCAGGTACAGTCATTAATCACCCATTAGCATTCTCATACTATATAGCTCCTTCTGTGATTGTTTTAGTTTCACTGCTTGGATAAACTAAGGCAAATTTTGTGGGTTGTTATTCCCCTTCCTTTGTCAAGCTGGAATTTTCCAGAGTCAGATCTTGGCACTTGGAATTGTGCATAGTACATTCATGGAAGCCAGCTGCTTACTGAATCATCATCTCAATACAATATTGTCAAGTTCTAGGGCCAGCTGGCTGGAGCAATGTGCAAATTAATTCATTAACATTTTCAGTCTTTCAGAGAACATAGCAATTCAGGTTCAAGGGAGGAATGGGAAGACGCTAGTAGATCTGGCAAACAAGAATAGGCTGAAATTTATATTTTATATAGTACCTAGAAACAGGTGCAGTTTTGGAGATACTTGGAAGACATATAAGGGTACAAAATGTATGGCTATTGGCTAAGGATTCCCCTTAATGAAGCTTAAGTCTGGTAAATTAATATCTGTAGTTTATTTGGAACAACACAATACTGGCTTGCATTGCTTTCCTCCATGAACATAAATATGAAGTATTGTTGAGAAAACAATGTACAAGTAGTCCTCAACTTACGACTACAATTGAGCCCAACATTTTTGTTGCTAAATGAAACATTTGTTAAGTGAGTTTTGGCTCATTTTACGATCTTTCTTGCCACAGCTGTTAAATGAATCACTTGCAATTGTTAGTAACACAGTTGTTAAATGAATCTGGCTTCCCCATTGATTATGTTTGTCAGAAGATTGCAAAAGCTGATCACATGACCCCCGGGACACTGCAACCATCATAAATATGAGCCAGTTGCTAAGCATCCAAATTTTGATCAAGTGATCATGGAGATGCTGCAATGGTATAAATGTGAAAAAGGGTTATAAGTCACTTTTTCCAGTGCCTTTGTAACTTTGAATTGTCACCAAACGAATGGTTGTAAGTTGTGGTCTCCCTGTATGAAGGGGGAGGTGAGGTGATGGACTGCAGTACCATAGGAGGTTCCCAGGAAGGAGGAAACACATTGCAAGGAGGGACAAGAGACAGCACAGTCCAGAGATGGATTGTGGGAAGAGGAAGAGATTGAGTATAGCTACTCCCTAGATCAGTGATGGCGAACCTTTTAGAGACCGAGTGCCCAAACTGCAACCCAAAACACATCATCGGGTGCAGGGTGGGAGTGGCCCATTGGATGGGTGTGGCCAATTGGGTGGGCATGGCCCATTGGGTGGGCATGGCTGCAGTGGTCACGGCAGACTGGGTGGGCATGGCTGAGGTGGGCATGGCCACCTTGATGTTGCTCATGGGGAGGGATGCCTGTGGGGGCCAGGCAGGATTGGGGGAGATCCAGGGGGGTCTCTGGCAGGTGGGATGGTGGGCAGGAGGCTCGTCCTGCGGGGTGAGGTGAGGTGAGGCATGGGGGCAGGGTGCCACTGCCGCAAGGCAAGGTGAGGCAGGGGCCGGGGCAGCTGCTGCCTGACACCATCGGCCCCTGCACACAGCAAACACATGGGGGCCAACTGTGTCGACCAGCAGCCATAGCCTGCCGGCCCCTCGGTTTTGGCACGATGTGGCTGTTTGCCTCCAGCCGCGGCCATTTGCCGCCTCGTGCATCGCACCCAATGAGGCTGCCATGAGGCCGCGGAACAAGCTGGGTGGAGGTAAGGAACCGGTATACCAGTTTCTTACCGCCGGCCGGCTTGTTCCGCAGCCTCATGGAAATGGCACTGGGCAGGAGGTGGCAAACGGCTGGTTTTGGCTTGATGTGGCTGTTTGCTTCCAGCCATGGCCACTTGCCACCTTGTGCATCGCACCCACCCCCATCACAAATCTTTCCAGAAACTCACCACGAAGGACACCTGGCACGAAGGACATCAACACAACTCCCAGGAGTCAGAGGGGCGCTTCATGGCAGCGGCACTGGGCAAGAGGCGGCAAACGGCCAATTTTGGCCTTGCACGTCACACCCAATGCCGCTGCCATGAGGCCGTGGAACAAGCCAGGCGGAGGTAATGAACCGGTATACCAATTTCTTACCGCCGCTCGGCTTGTTCCGCGGCCTCATAGCAGCGGCATTGGACAGGAGGCGGCAAATGGCCAGTTTCGGCATGACACAGCTGTTTGCTACTTTGCGTATTGCTGCTGCAATGTGGCTCGGCTGAAAACGGCTGTGGAACAAGTGGGGCAGGTTTCCCCCTCACCTGTCCATTCAGCTACAGCTTTGGAGGCTCTGTAGGCAGAGCTGCCAAGTTCTCTTCTCTGACAGAGAAGAGAACTTCGCAGTTCTGCCTACAGAGCCACCAAAGCAGCAGGTGAAGTGCTGGAGGCTTGGGGATGGAGGGCTCTGAAGTGGGCGGTTGGGCCATTGGCAAGAGCAATGCGTCTGAGTGGAAAGCGGCCTTGGAACAAGTGAGGCAGGTAAGGAAAGAAATCCTTGCTCCCCCCAGAAATTGCCTTTCTTTCCTTACCTGACTTCCAGCCCTGTGCCGTTTCTCCTTCGCAATCTGCCACCGCCACCGTGTGCAAGGAAACAAAGGAAGGGTTTTTTGGGGAAAAAAGGTCAATCAATCAATCCCAACTTTGCAATCTTTCACAAGAAGTTGGAATTGATTGATTGACCTTTTTCCCCCAAAAAACTTCCTTTGTTTCCTTGCACACAGCGGTGGTGGCGGATTGCGAAAGAGAAAGGCACGGGGCTGGAAGTCGGTAAGGAAAGAAAGGCAATTTCTGGGGGAAGCGAGGATTTCTTTCCTTACCTGCCCCACTTGTTCCGAGGCTGCTTTCCGCTCAGACGCGTTGCTCTTGCCAATGGCCCGACTGCCCACTTCAGCACCCTCCCTCCTTGAGCCTCTGGCGCTTCACCTGCTGCTTTGGTCGGGCTGTCGGCCCCCACCTCAACACCTTGCCCATCGCCGCCCAGCACGGCTGCCCCGGGGCTGCGGGGGCTGACCTGGCATGGGAAGGGCATGCGCCCCACCCTCCCACCACCATGCAGGGTAAGGTTGCCACACGCACCCCCGCCCAGATGCCCTCGCCTCCCCCAAGCGTTTTCTTACTAACCTGCCTTTCAGCGGCATTCTGTTTCTCCATTCGCTTCTCAGCCTTCGCCACATGTTTGTGGGACTATCGATAAAAAAAAAAGTTCCATCAGACTTTCTCTTGAGATCTCGCTAAAAGTTAGAAAGTCTGATGGAACTTTTTTTTTTTTTACCGATAGTCCCACAAACACGCGGCAAAGGCTGAGAAGCGAATGGAGAAACGGAATGCAGCTGAAAGGCAGGTTAGTAAAAAAATGCTTGTGGAGGCGGGGGCCAGTGCGGCAACCTTACCCGGCACGGGTATTGATGCAGGTTGCTCATGGATGGGACTGAAGGCCTAGGACTGGGGTGACGGTGCGCATGCCCACAGAGAGGGCTCTGCATGCCGCCTGTGGCATGCGTGCCATAGGTTCGCCACCACAGCCCTAGAGTCCGAAGGTATATCTGTTAGCATTGGGGAAAATGTAAAATCCACCTTGTCAATCCATCTTGCCTCTGCCATAACCAACCCTGTTCACTTTAGCCAAGCTAATTTCTCTTTCCTTCCCTGATCTCTCCTCCTATGTTGCAAAAATGACAACAGTTTTCCCTGCTTTATCTACATGGCTGATGTTGTGATGTGACTGGGTGGCAAGGCCCAAGTGATAACTGATGTAATTCAGTTCAAATCAGGTGTGTCCAACTTTGGCCACTTTAAGATGTGGACTTCAATTCCCAGAATTCCTCAATTAGCCATATTGGCTGGGGAATTCTGGGAGTTGAAGTTCACAAATCTTAAGGTTGGATACCCGTTTTAAACCATTCCATTGAGTAAATATGTCTCCTGAATTGGGCAGATAATTAAAACTATAAAAATGCAAATGCTTATAAGTACAATACTTGCAGTCACTTACTTTCTCTTACACACACACCAGAACAAAATGCTTTTCCTGATACCTTGACTTAAAATAACAAAAAGAAAAACAGGCTTCATGATTCAGAGATAATACATGCAATCTTCTGCAACCATATGCAGATTGGGTGAATCAGCTAAAATAGACAACTGATTTACATTTTAAATTAAGTTGCTTAGCATTTAAAATGTTATAATGTGCTCAGTCAGAATAAATTTACTTCATTATCTCTGCAGATAGTGACATTCATAGCATTACCTTCTAGGTAGGAGGAAAGCCATGTTGATTATGGTATCCCCAAATCACAAGGCGTTTGAAAACCCCCAACAACTTTTATTAACAGCAATAAGCTTTCAAGAACTAGGTTCAATGCTACCAGATCCCTTCTGCTTTCTGCATTTCCTACAGATCAAATCAAATCAGGGGAGCTGAAGCATGCTGTTCATTCCAGTTTCCCTTCCTTTTTCCAATCCCATTAAAAGCTTAGTTACCTGGTGTTGAACTCAAGAAGATTCTGAGGAGGTTGGGAGGCCAACGGCTTCGGAACGAACCCCACTTCCCCTGAAGAAGGTCTTGGAGGGGATCCATCTGGTGGCTCATGCTGAGTTCTGCTTGAGTTGGCAACTGGCTGCTTTCTTCTTTCACAAGAAGCAAAGTTTTCTTCAGACACCACCAATCAACAATGAGGAAAACTTCACATGCTTCAGAAAAACTTAAACCCAACTGCCAAGAAGGCCCAGGGAGAAAACGATTGGCTCTGCTGGGAACAGATTGCCATAACTACTGCTGTTTGTGAACAAGTGAGAGTCCCAGAATGCACAGTGAGACGCCATCAATTGAGACTCACCTGGGAAAACCTCTGCAACCAAGATGGATCAGATACCCTTATTCTGCACGACTGATGCAAGCTTGTGACTGTTTATGCTGCAGGAGCAGCAGATAATGGCACAACTTGGACTTGACCCCTGGGCATTGGCCTGGGACTCCACAAACAAGTGTGTGTGCGCGCCCTCGAGTCAGTGTTGATTCTTGGCAACTACCTGAACTTGCTCCCAGCAGCTTCCTTGGCAAGGTTTTTCAGAAATGGTTTGCCATTGCTTCCTTTCTAGGACTGAAAGAGAGTGATTGGCTTAAGGTCACCCAGCTGGCTTTGTGCTAAAACAGGGCTGGAACTCTCAATTTCCTATTCCTAACCACTATAACAATCTGACTTTCCCATAAACAAGAGGGTCCTAAAATTCAGCTCCCCTTTTTACTACATATTTTAGGTTTCAGAAAAACAGTTTTCTCCTCATTAAAAATTAGCTTTTTCCTTCTCTTCTAGGGGTTTCCTTTGGAAAGGGAGGGGAGATCAGGAATTAAAATGCCCAGAAAAATGGGTATGGATGGCACAAAGTTTCTTGTCCAGATACTCTTAACACAGAAGTGCCAAGGAGCTTCAACATGGATCCACTGCCAGAGAATTCATAACTATATGCCTGTGGACTTCATCTATATATTACTAAAATTCTCGTCTCAGGCAAAACGGTGCATCATAGGGCAACAATTTTTGAATCAAGGTATCTCAAATGAGCTAATTTACAATAATTCTCCAAAATTACACATCCATAACTCCTGAGAGAATGAAATTTGGGAAAGGTGTGGCTGCTTCAGTGTTACTGGCTGCTGCTGTGGTCACATGATCTTCATTTTCAACATTCTGTGACAGTTTTCCAGCCACTCTTGCAATCCCTCAGTCTCCCCTCCATCCAGCAGCAGCTACTTACCGTATTTATTCGAGTATAACGCGCACACGTGTATAACGCGCACCCCTAATTTTCGATTAAAAATCGGTATAAAATTTTGTTTCACTTTTTCTCGGCTCAGACCAAGCATTGTAAGTGACAAACGTTGTTGAACACGTGCGGGCATGATAAAAATCATTTATTGACAACGTAAACTATGAACACAATACCGAAATAAAATTACCGGTAACAATATTTATTTAAAATGCTTCAAAGTCAGATTCATCATCAGATACACTAAAGAGTTGTTCCTATTCTTCTCGAGTTAATTTATCATCAGTTTCTTCGCTTTCTTCTGAGTCTGAATTCCACAGCAGGTCGTCTTCTGTGCCGTCCATTTTATTGCTGATGCCGCCCCCTGTACGCGACGAGGGGACGTTTTTTTTTTCTTCGCCCTCACGTGAGCGGCTGAAGCCCGGAAAAGGCACAGTGCGAACTCACAATTCGCGTCATATGCAGAACATTTTCTCCTGAGTTGCCATCTAACGGGAAAGGGAAGTGCGTCTCGCCAGTTCGGGCCGCCCCCTGTACGCGACGAGGGGACGTTTTTTTTTTCTTCGCCCTCGCGTGAGCGGCTGAAGCCCGGAAAAGGCACAGTGCGAACTCACAATTCGCGTCATATGCAGAACGTTTTCTCCTGAGTTGCCATCTAACGGGAAAGGAAGTGCGTCTCGCCAGTTCGGGCCACCCCCTGTACGCGACGAGGGGACGTGTTTTTTTTCTTCGCCCTCGCGTGAGCGGCTGAAGCCCGAAAAGGCACAGTGCGAACTCACAATTCGCCTGCGCCCTCAATGGACCGGCCGCCACTGCGTCACCCCACCCCAGCCCTTGTTTATAATGCGCACCCAAACTTTGATTTCTTTTTTTGGTAGAAAATTTTGCGCGTTATACTCGAATAAATACGGTACCTAACTTGCAAGGAAGGGAAGGGAAGATTTTTCAATGCTCCCTGTCGATTCCCACAAGGAAACTCATTAAGGAAGCTGGCAGGAATTTGGAAGTCACTCCTGCTCCCACTCTTTTTTTGCCCACCCTTGGTCATTCTGTTTCCCTGTTTAGGTAAGGAAATATCTCTGAAACAGTCACCCAATGCAGCACAGGTTATCCACTCATTTGCTAAACTAATAAACTAGCTGGCTGCTCACCTAAAATTGGTGGAAGAGCTGGTAAAAACCACAAGGATAGGAAGTGACATCACACCCTTAATAAATGAATTAATCACCATTGTTTTTGAAAGTTTTTATTGTATTTCATAAAGAATTACAGCATTAGGCTTAATCTTTTATGGGTGAGGAGAGTAAGGGTTATTTTTTCTCTTTTCCCCATCTGTAGCGAACAGAAGGAATGGCCTTCAGGAAGAACCACTACCAAGTAAGAAGAGATTAGCCAACCATTTGTCTGAAATGGTATAGGGTTTCCTGCCTGAGCAGGAAGTTGGACTGGAAGACCTCCAAGGTCCCTTCCAACTCTGTTATTTTGTTAATGGTCAGATCAGTAGGGTTTGAGCCTAGACCAAGAAAATAACTTGAGAAAATGTCTCAGGGAAACCCCTCCTTAGTGAACATAAAATGAGGAAGCACATTCAGACTTGCAAGATTCTATTATTACAGGTAATCCTCAACTTAAGACCGTAATGGAGTCTGGAATTTCTGTCATAATTCAGGACAATTGTAAGTCAAGGCACTCATGTGCCTTGACCTGACTTTATGGCTTCTTTTTGCAGTGGTCATTAAATGAATGCCGCAGTTGTTAAGTGAATTGATGTATTCCTAAGGGCATTTTTGTTGGAAACTTGCCCCAAAAGCCACAAATCAGTAAAAACTGTCTTAAATCACAGTCACATGACTGCAGAATGCTGCAACTGGCCAAAAAGGTGAGCTAATTGCCAAGCACCCAAAATGTGATCATGGGACTATTCAACTCTCAGAACTTTGGAACCAGGACATAAGTAGCTTTTGAGGTGTCCATTGTAACTTTGAATGGTTGCTAAACAATTGGATGGAAGAGGAGACTACCTGTATAGCCTTACAATAAAAATAGTCCTCACTCTATGGCAGGAGTAGGCAACCTTGACTCTTTTATAACTCGTGGACTTCAACTCCCAGAATTCCTGAGCCAGCATGGCTCAGCTTGGAAACTCTCCCTTTCCCCTCAGTATGGCTGGCTCAGGAATTCTGGGAGTTGAAGTCCATGAGTCATAAAAGAGCCAAGGTTGCCTACCCCTGCTCTATGGCATTGGTTTCTTAGTTTGGTCTACCTAGAATGGCTGATCCCCAACCCCTTTTCCCAGTATTTTCCTCATAATCTGTGTTTGTTGGATGTTGGAAGACTAGGTGTGTCCATGTGCCCACTAGGAGGGCACCCAGAGTACGGTTCCCTTTGGAGGCAATCACTCTAACTGAACCTCTATGACCAGGCTATTTGTTTCTTCAATCCATATAAGCCGCAATATTAAAACAACAAATATTTCAAACCCAGAGTGTGAATTTGGGATAACAAAAAAACCCTTGTTCCTGTGACTGATGCATGAAAATGGCATATTTATAGCAGACTTTTCCAACCAGGTGGCCTTCAGGTGTATTGGGACTGTAAGCCCCAGAATTCTGAGGCAACATGGGAATCCTGGCAGTTTCAGTACGTAGTTTCATGCATCCAAAGGCTATTGGGTTCAGGAAAGCTGATTCACAGCCCCCTTCCATCCCTTGCTGCCTTCTTTCTCACTTCTCAGGGAAACTCTGCCTCCTCCTCCTCCTCTTGGTGCTTCTGCGCTTCTGGATGATGAAATCAATCTGGTAAATGAGCATCACTGCCAGAAGAAAGATGACAACCTGGAAGGAAACAGAGAAAGTTCAGCAATATAACCCAAGAAGGGGATATAAAGACGTGCCACATTTTTTGGGGGGGTGTTCCTTAATTTGAGCATAGGCTTCCATAGAGAGAAGGCTGAGGAAGACAAGTGTCATATGCACTTATGTCTGACACTGGAACACAAGTACAAAAGGGAAGGGATGAACTTGTGATGTCACCCTGCACATGTCATCACGGTAACTACCTCTGGACATAGAATAACAGAATTGGAAGGGGCCTTAGAGGTCTTCTAGTCCAACCTCCTGCTTAGGCATGAAGCCCTCTACCATTTCAGACAAGTGACTGTCCAATCTGGAGACAGGTTGTTCCACTGATTAATTGTTCTTACTGTCAGGAAATTTCTCCTTCGTTCTAGGTTGGTTCTCTCCTTGATTATTTTCCATCCATTGAGCTTGGGGGTTCTTCCGAGCTGATTAAATTCTCCAAATTCTCCCAGTCTTATTCCAGGCTGATCGGATCTCCTCCAGCCCTAGTGCCTTACCTCCAACACCAACAATCCAAATGCCAGCCCAGCCATCAGCAACAGGTTGCTCCGTCCCCAGTGGACAATCTTCTCTAGGCAGCCCTCTGTGTACACCAAGTTCTCTGCTTGCCAGCCTTTAAGATTCTGTGTCCCATAGCCACACATGGTGTTTAGCATAACCTAGAATAAGTTGAGAACATTAAGACAAGTGCAGGGTCAAATCACCGAGGGCCCATAGTCTCTAAGAGTGATTGATCATTGACAAGATGTCAAAGAGCAAATATGAGATACTGGCTGTTCTTTGCTCTTCAGCATCCAATACTGAAAAGTAAATTACTGCATCTCCTTACATGGGGGAAAAATCAGGATTTTAGTAGCACTTTTTATGAGTAAAACATTTTATTAAAAGGCGTAAGCTTTCGTGAGCTTCAGACCATCTTCCACTGTGGTGACCATCTTTATTTGCAGCACTTTATTGATCTAGTATAAGATAGCAGTTTCCGAATTTGCCGTAATTTCCAATTAAATGCAGAAATTCTGACTCCAGAACCTTTGAATAAACTGCAGGTAGCCCTTGACCTATGGCCTACAATTGGGACCAGAATTTCTGTGGCTAAGCCAGGCAGTTGTTAAGTACTTCGTGCCCAATTTTATGAACTTTTTGCTATGGTTAAGCGAATCACTGCAATTGAATCAGGCAATCATTCAGTAAATCCTGCATTCCCCATCAACTTTGCGTGTTAGAAGCTGGCTAGGAAAGTCGCATATGGCGATCACATGACATAAAAATATACTGGTTGCCAAGCACCTGAAGTTTGATCATGTGACCATGGGGTTGCTGTGACAGTTGTAAGTGTGAGTATCAATTGTGAATCACCTTTTTCACTGCCGCTATCACTTTGAACAATCACTAAGTTGAGGATTATCTGTACCAGAAAAGGTGGGTGAGGTGTTGCTACTATGGACTAACACAATTCTATTCCTACAATCTCTTCATATGATGCTCCATTAAGCTGTTCGATCAGCTGCAAAAGTTAGGAATAAATTTCTAATCAAGCTGCTAGAGGTCCGGGAGAGTAGAATAACGTTGCTGCCCACCTGTAATGCTTCCTCAAATTGCAGATTTGTGAATAAAAGCTAATTGTTGTAGCAGTGCTTTGTAAAACTGGGGGGGAGGGGGCTCTCTTTTTCAAAATAAATAACAAAAGCTCCACATTAACTTTGCAAATCTTTGTTTAAAGTTAATTCTTGTAATCTGCTATTTTCATACATTGAAGTTCTAGACTTTGATTTGTTAAAATGTTTACTTTTTAATAAATTGTCCCACCATCCCTGTTTGGCTTCTGAACAGCAGCATCTACATTTTAGAAATAAATGGCCTAATAAAGACCTTGAATTTTATACTGTATCCCCAGTCTTATTGCCACAGTGACTTAAAGTACTGTTCCTCCTCCTACTTACCTCAGAACTGAACATGTTTGAATTCCCTTTTCTCTTACCTCTTTATCTTGCAGACAGCAAGAGAAAGGCACCGCACAACGCTCCAGGCTGGGATTGGTGTCTTGGCAGTCAAAATAAATATTCTGGGACCAGTCCTTGTATGAGTGAACCCCACAGCACTTGAACTGGGTAGAAGAGAGAAACAAAACCAAATGCCAAGGGAACTAATTGGATTCATGAAATCACAGAGAAATGTCCCACAAGGACAGCCTGCTTCAGCAGCTTATGGGTGAAGTTGAGTAGAGGAATAACAACAACAACAACAACAACAACAACATTATTATTATTATTATTATTATTATTATTAACAACAACAACAACAACAACAACAGACAAGCACCTGCAACATAACACCCCGGACTTAATAATTGCCGATAAGAAAGACAAAAAAGTCTGGATAGTGGACGTGGCAGTGCCTGGAGACAGCAGAATAGACGAGAAAGAACTGGAGAAGATAACAAAATACAAAGACCTACAAATAGAAATAGAACCATTGTGGCAAAGGCAAGCAAGGGTAGTACCAATAGTAATAGGCGCCTTGGGTGAAATCCCAAAACAACTGGAGCACCACTTGAACACCATTGGCATTGACAAATTCGCCATTAGTCAATTGCAAAAGGCGGCCTTACTAGGAACTGCTTCCATCCTGCGATGATATCTGTAATACCATCAAACATCCACATCTGCCTATCCCAGGTCCTTGGGAAGGACTCGATAGGTAGAGAAAAATGCCAAATCCAGTCTGAACATCTGGCTGACTGTGCGATGATCAATAATAATATAAAAAAAAAGTCTGGATGGTGGACATGGCAGTAGGGCCAGAATAGAAGAAAAAGAACTTGAGAAGATTACAAACTACAAAGACCTGCAAAATCAGGCATAGAACAACTGTGATGAAAGGAAACAAAGTGAATAGGCACCTTGGTGCAATCCCAAAACCTCTGGAACACCACTTGAGCATCATCAGCATTGACAAAATCACCATCGGTTAATTGTAAAAGATAGTTTTGCTTGGAACAGCTTAGCCTTAATCCAATTAAATAACAACATCTGCTTATCCCAGGGCTTTGGGAAGGACTTGATAGGCAGACAAAATTGCCAAATCCAGTCTAAACATCTGACTGACTGTGTGACCATCCATAACATTAACAGTCTTGCTCTGCCTTCCATCTACAGAGTTTCTGCTTTAGGGAAACCAAACCGTACCTCAATTTACCTTAGAGGGATTTCCCCCCCAGTTATATGCATATTTAACACACGTTTTTAGTAGTAGTGTAGCTCTTCCATAACAAGCTGGAAGCAGAATTAAAATGGTATTCAACATGGCAACTTGATACAGCATTCTGTTATCTGATAATGTCTACCACCATGGCTGATATCCTACAAAATAAAATATTGATTCACAAATATTCCTTTCCAAAAAGATCCCCTACAAAATTAATTAATAACATCTTGGGGGTTCTGCTCTTTTATGGTGCTCTTTTCAGCATCAAAGCAAGGTTATTACTTCCTTGAAGGGCCTCCTAACTGCACTTTAAAGAAATTCTAATGCTGTTGTACTCAAAATGAATCAATAAAAGAACTGGATGTGGCAAGCAGCAGGGATTGTAGCCCATTTAAAGTTTCAATGTTCTTTTTGTTAAGTCATACTGAACAGGCAGGTGCTGCAATTTAACTTTACATTTAAAGGAATCACACATTTGGATAGAACAAAAGAGTAACACAAAAAACACAGGGCAATGTCTAGCAACAATATCTGAATCTTTTTAAAAACAATTCCAAATTAGTAGAAATAGCCCATTACAACCATTTGTTTAGTAACTGTTTGAAGTTACAACAGCACTGAAAAAAGTGACTTATGAACATCACAGCATTCCCATGGGTTCCATGATCAAAATTTGGCTGCTGGGCAACTGACATGTGTTTACAATGGTTGCATCATCCCAAGGTCACGTGATGGCCACTTGTGACCTTCCCAGATGGCAAAGTCAATGGGAGATGCCAGTTTCTAACTCACTTAACAATTGCAGGGATTTGCTTAACAATGGTGGCAAAAAAGGTTATAAAGTTGGGCAAGACTCACTTAACAACCGCCTTGTTTAGCAATGGAAATTTTGGTCGTAACTCAAGGACTACCTATGGGCCAGTTTTGCAGATCAGATAATTGTTCTTCCTCTATGAAGTGTGAAAAAGAACATCAGTGCTTCTGTACAGAGCCTGCGCAAAGCTGAGGAAGGCAGAGTACTAAGGCCCTGGAACCAGAACTTCTGCATAATGTTGGAAACCAGGGCAAATTCAGAACCCGTTACCTTCTTCTGAATGTAGTCGATGAGGTTCTGTAAATCAAGGTTGTCACGATAGCGGGAGATGGCCTGGCCCATCAAAAATGTGGCTTTTTCCATCACCTGGGGGATGAAAATGGGGGGAGTTTTTTGTCACAGGGAATGCTGAGACAAATCTTGGGCCAATGAGGAAAACCCTTCTATGGCCCACTTGAAAACCAAGACAGGCCTGGAGGATTGTCACTGGAATCTCTTGCCCACTTTGACTACCGCTGATGATGTTGGTGGGTCAAGTTTGTTTGTTTTTTTACCATGCCAGAGAAGATGAAGCCTAAAACTGCAGCCACCACTTGCAGAATGAAAATGATGAGCAAGATCCAGGCAAACTAGAAAGCAAAATGAATAAAAGAAAGAAAAAGGGAAAGGGGGAAAAAAGGTCAGCAGCTGCAGAATGCACATTTACACACCGATGAAAAACACCCATCTGTCTCAATCTGGATTTGCATAGAGTATATGCTTCATCATAGCCAAACAAGCACACACCTGTTCTCTAGAGTCTGAATCCAAACTGATGGAGTATATATCCCTCTTTCAATATGTGCCAATCCTTTGAGGAGCTTCTTGTAGGAAAACCTCCTTCTAGAACAGCGGTTCTCAACCTATGGGTCGCGACCCCATTTGGGGTCGATCGACCATTTCATGGGGGTCGCCAAGCAAGGCTGTCCGCCATTTTTCCCCCCTTTTCCGGCGGGTGCCTTACCTCCCTTGGGCTGGGCCAGCAGGTGGTCGGCCTGCTCCGTCTCTGCCGCTTGCCAGCTACGCCTCGGCCAGCGCAGGGGGCGGAACCACGCATGCGCGGCACTCCCGGGCCGGGAAAGTCCTCGACTTACGACCGGTTGGGTAGTCCTCGACTTACGACTGGTTTAGTCCTCGACTTACAACCGGTTGGGGGTCGCGGCATTAAAAAGGTTGAGAACCACTGTTCTAGAAGGTGTCCATCCAGTTTAGCATCCTTTGTCTGTTCATAACTGGGCCAGCCAGATGCACCAAAAGGATGCTGACAAGCATGAAATGAAAGCGGTACCTGCTGTGAGAGGATCTACTACCATCAAAGAGATGGAGAAGAATTCCTCATTGCCCACCAAAGCTGGCTGATGGATGGGAAAAGGGAAATCCTTGTTAACGTACCATTTTCAGCATTAGTGTGAGGTCCCGTAAGGCTCCCAAGCAGCCCACAAAGGTGATGCAGAAAATCAGGGTACCCACTGCTAAAAGAATTATGGAGGGATCAGCCAACAAGGAGTCCACAGCACCTGGCGAAAGATGGAGACACTATTTTAAAAGTTCCATGAACAATCTCAATAGTAGGACAACTGTTCTGATCCAAACAAGAGCTTTGCTTTATTCCTGTTTGTCACAGACAGATTAAATCCAAAGACGGATTAATATTCAGATTATTTATTCTTCAGGAATCTCTAAACAATAACTCACAGTTAAGAAGAGTTCTTCTGAGGCACGAATCATAATCTGTCCATTTTGTGGTGTAAAAAATTAAAGGTAGATTCACCCCATGGACTTGACCCAATTAGTTCGTGCACCCACTCACACGGGAGGACATACACTGGATCTAATTTTTGTCTCTGGCCAGTGGCAGAGTGATCTGGAAATGGAGGAGATAATTATAGAGCCTTTGTCATGGTCAGATCACGCACTCCTTAGGATGGACTTCCGGACCGCTGCCCCTCGCCGCAGGGAGACGGAACCGCCTAGATGGTTCCGTCCCAGGCGCCTGATGGACCCGGAGGGGTTTCTGACGGAGCTTGGGCCATATCCTGAGGAGCTGGGTCACGACTCGGCGGAACATCAGGCT